AAGTTGAAAATTTAAACCATACAGCATTATCCTTGTCAGAGACACTTGGTGTTAGGACCCCAACAACAACATTACCCTGTCCTTGCCTCCATACACATCGGACAATTGCTACTTTGTTCATTTCCTTCATTGCCCTTGCCAAAGCAGAAAGTGCAAGGATGGCCTTTTTGTTGCCAGGTTCGGCTATGAAGATATTTACATCTTTCAGGTAGTAATGCCTGAGTACATGGACTATCACTGTGAGAAGATTGGAGAGATAAACGACACAAGAAATTCCCTATAAATCAAATGTTAACCAGAACAAGCTGTGTATATAGTACTCAAGAAGCCAAAATATACCGCATTATATTTGAAGCATCCGTGAATCCTAGAAGCTTCACACTTTTCTCAGGTTTGAACTTTACAGCCTCCCACTCAGCAGAGGATATAGGAACTACTTGAGGTCCATACCGAAAACCTTTAATCCTTTGTTCTGGTGGCACAACTTTGTTAGGGTCTTCTATGCTTTTATATTCGTAATCAACCTTGATTTCATGAGTGGCAAATTTGTCTGTGGGAGGAGCCTTCTCAGAGTACTTTTTTAGAGTGGGAAACTTCTCTTCAGATGTTTTCTTGTAAACCCATACCTAGTAAGAAAAACATTTATTAGAGACTAAACCTCCGCGCCAAACTATCTCCAAAACAGAATATTAAGGAAAAGGAAAAAGAGATGTGCACATAAAATTAGCAGATTAGGGACCAAAGGGGATACATATTAGGTGTACAATTCTAAAGTTACTATCCTACTCTTTTGCTAGACTCCTATAAAATTCTTACAACCTCCATATATGGTCATCGGATAAAACAGCTTCCAGATGAGAGTATATTATCCGATCTGATTATCACAAAAAATGTGCTGATTCGTTAAAAAGTGAAAACAGCTTCCAGAAGAGAGTAAATCACCCAATCTGATTATCACAAAAAATGTGCTGATTCTTTAAAAATTGACGTTCTGGGAGGATAGTTTTATTGACACTATATATGACAGACTCCTGAGAAAAGTCATACAGAGGTAATGCAAAGACAATGAGTCAAGATTTATTAGGAATGAAGGCATTTGTTATCTTTCAAACCAGATGTAGAGAAATTCCTCCTTTTCTTCAAACAAATCAAGGAAAATCATAACCTCAGTTCAATGGACGTTTCAGACATTTGACTAGGATTTCTTTTCCTTTTCGAAGTAATAGCTAGAAGGTTTGAAACAGAGAAAATTACTTTATAGCCTATAATGGAAAAAACAAAAAGGTAAAAGACACAATTCTGAGTCACATTGCAGAGACACAGTTTGGTCTGTCTCACTTGGAAAAAATTCAGTAAATAGGGGAAATTCAAAGAAGAAAAAAGCAAAAAAGAAAAAAGCTTTTTTTTGTCAGTAGAAAAAGGTAAAGAAACTACATTGGAAAAAAAGAAGAGTAAATCAGCATAAGTTTCTTAATTCTCACCTTGATCTTCAATTGTGAGCTTATTTCAAAATCGCCTCTGTATATCGTGACTGGTGATATATTACGAGTTCTAAGTGCACCTAACAAAGAAGTTGGATTTTCCACATATACTATTTTTGAGGAAGATTTATTCGAGAATACTGATAATAGAACATCATTTTCTTTCATAACTCTCCTATTCATTTCCAAATCTTGTTTCATTCTAACAATTACGCAGTCCATCTTCATGCCTTGTGCTGCCATCTGTGTAGCAATGGTGTTTACTTGATCTTCTTTTGTTCCTTCAAATGGATCTTTGATGGGAGAAATAGCATTTGTAATAAGGCAAAGACGTTTCTTCCCCTTGTTGGTTTGTCCAAACTTTTTAATCAGCATGTCCATTCCGACAACAATCGCATCAAGAACTATTAAAGATAGTTAAGGAATCAAGAACTCAAGATCATCATGAGCATAAAAACAACAGTTAGATTACCAGTATGAAATCACATGCCACAAGCCCACAACTATAGTGTCAAAAAATGCCAGTGAATAGGCGACAACAGAACTAACCAGCGTAGAAACACAAGTTCCACAGCCGAATAGGCACTCTATGGGATGAATAGCTATTATACATTATATGGCCTACTCTATTTGTGGAGAACTCAATTATTGTCTAATAGATATTAACTACAGTAATAATGTTTTCTTTTGAAACCTGATTTCAGTTGCCACCGACACTAACATAGCTGTGTGTATGAGCATATGCATTTTATGTCAATCATAATAGTGTGAAGCAGATGAATCAACATAGAGGAAACAGTATGTTGAGAAAAGAGAGGCAATGACTTGAAAACAAGTTGCATGCCTAACAACTTTACTAGTCCAAGCTATATCACAAGTCAATAATTATAGAGGATACAATCTCCGGGAACACTTCCTCGTGGAAGGTTTTGTGGAGCATCAACAAGATCTTCATCTACAACTTTGATATTCCGCAGAACGGTCACGTGTTCGTACCCACCTACTTCCTCTGTCAATTCGTTCTTGGTATCTAGGAAAAAAATACATATATAGGTCATCTGATGACACTTCCAACAGCAATGCTAAGAGACAGATGTTTTACCACAACAAATTCTAGAAAGAAATGGGCAACCATACAAACATGATGTACACAAGTCCAACAACCCGTGCTCCTCTAATAAGAAGGCAAGGAAAAAAGGAAAAACTACACAAAGTGTGTTTGGTATGATTGAAAATGCTTTCCTTCATAAAATAGGTTTGCTATCTTGAACTATAGAAAGTATTTTCTACCAAAAGGGAAAAAATGACTTCCGTCGCTTATGGGCAGAAGTCATTTTACTTTACAAATAACTCTTAGACTATATCACTTGTTTCAACTAAGACTTAGACATTGTTATCAAACTTTAATACACAAAAATATCACCAAAACATTATCCTAATACTCTGTTCTTCGCCATAAGGATTTTAATAATCACTTACCCTTATATTCAAACCAACACTAGAAAATAATCTAGAAATAATGATTTCCTGATAAAATAACATTTTCCACTATGAAATATTTAATCCATGTCAAATGCATCAGCAGCCACTGTGCAAAAGACTTACCTGCAGTTCCAAATAAGACAAACCCCACTTCATCGTATCTGCTAAAAATCAGCTACATGCACAAAAGCACAAAATGTGACTTTTTTACTGGATATGTAGAAAATTAACAGTTTAGCAAAAATTGAAACAAGAAGAAAGTCAAAGGTGAAAACGCACTACCTTCTTCTGTATCAACAATGAGCAAACTTTTCCAATCTCAGGTAAAACTGAATGCATAGAAGGACCCACATCTATCACCAATACTACCGCTTCCTGTGCCAAAAAAAAAAAAAGCCAAACCCAGAAATAATTTTAGTATGTAATAAGAATCTATAAATCTAATCTATTTTTCAAGAATAAAAAGGAAGTAAAGCAGAAATTGATGAAATTAATAGAGGGTATGAAAAAATAACGAAGGAAGAAGAAGATTAAAGACTGAAAATTACCTTATTACGGGCCATTTTGAAGAGGAGCACAAGGGAAAATAGTGTTCCAGTATTCCTTATGAGTAATTTTGGAAAGTAGAGAAAGTGCTCAAAGGGCTGTTTGGTTCTTCTTCCCGCTCCCTGGTTGAATACTCCGCAGTTTATCAAAACTTGCAGCGGNCATAAGTTGAAAAATATCCATATCCTCCAACATAAAAATGCTTTTATGAACTTTTTATTTTTTTGGGAACAATAAGTTTCGAAGTTTTTGGTAGTGAATCAAAAGCTTTTTTTGTGTAGCAACAACGGTCAATAACATTGTAGAGTAGAATACTATGTTTTGGTTTCAATTTAAAAGTATTCGGTAGAAAAGTTATCATTTTTAATTGTCCACCTCACATTTCCTAATCTTCTACTTTTTTATTAGTCTCGTTATAACTAGGTTGTTCAAACTGAACCGGAAAATTACACCAGAGGAAAAAGTCAAATCAAATCGATTAAAAAGTCTAACTAGATTTGATTTGATTTGATTTGGTATTGAGTAAAAAAATCTGAACCAAACCGACATATAAATATATAATTTTTATATATACATTTAAGACTTTATATTGAATTTTTTCTAAAAAATATACTCTCATGTGATATAATATTTAATAGAAGTATGAAGTAGTGCGTTCACTTTTTATTTACTTTAAATAATAGTTTGTATCACTTTCTTATCAAGTGTTATTTAAATGCGTCAATTATCTCTTTGTTCTTCCATATTCATGTGTCAAGATTTCTTATATCTTTTTCAAATTTGAAACGGTTCGTTAATTTAAAATTAAATATAACACATCATTATTTAGCTATCATGTTGATTTTTATATTTAATTATTAAACTCGATTAACGTTGAAAGCGTACATAAATGAAAAACTATTGTTAGACGACTAAGAAAATAACTATCATGTGATCATGTGTTACTAAAAAAATTCTCCCATTAGAATATCTTAATAGATCATAAATTTGTCAATTTTTTCAACTTTTACTAAACATATATTCACTTATCAAAACTTTATCTATAACTTTAAGAAAGTAAGATTGAAATAATATTTACATAACAAAAAAAACCCGAAACCCCCATGATAAAAGCGAACCAATCGAAACCGATATAGTTTGTTTGGCTAAGTTTTGATACAAACCGAACCAGTCCGATCCATGTACACTCATAATTATAACAACTTATTTTCGTTGTAGTTCTAAATTTTAATGTAGTTAAAAAGTACTAATGGAAACTGCAATTTCACATCACTTGAAACCATTACACAAAAAATTGCTATATGTTCTTTTCTAAACAATGTTTTTGCACCTAAATTTACTACTATTGGTTCTGGTCAAATATGAAAGTTATACATCTTAAATTCTTAACTTGACATTTCATTCGGTGAGTCATAAAGAAAACACAGTTTTCATTCATACAATATAAAAGCAAGGAGGTGGCCATGTGATAATTAAAATAACAGGATGTTTTTTTCGCTGTGGCAACTAAAGGAATATCCTTATTAATTTTCTCTCCTTTTTTTTTTCCTTCCCAAAATGCTTATAAAGATTGGCAAATGCTCTAAAGAGGTCCTTTTCTAGCGCAATAGGATTCCATTTTCCATTTTGCCTCAGGATTCAAGACTACGGAAAAGCAAAAAAGTAAGAAGAAAACGAAAGTAGCACTAGTCCTCACTTCTCAGTAATGGCTTCAATGGCGTCATCAAATACCCACCATTTTTATCCAAACAAATTCAAAAGTAAAGTATATACTAGTAAATCTTGTTTCTTCCCTTGTATTGTTTCATGTAAGGAGCAGGAGCAGCAACAACCATGGCAAGATGAAAGCACCAAACAAATGGGTCGCAGGTACTCCCCCTCCAAAAAAAAACTCCCACCACCACCCTCTCCCTGGGAAAGACAAACCCCATGAACCCTTTTGTGTTTAGTCTGAAACTATGAATCTGCAACATCAAAATCTTTCCTTTTGATGGGCATAGCACTCAATCTAGCTCATTGGTATATCCGTATATGTAGGGAAATAATACTAAGGAGCAGTGAAATTGCAGTTCTTGGAGCCCTCTTCAACTTCAGGCATGTGTTTTTTTTCTTCCTCAATGTATTCTCCTAGCTGCATTTCTCACCTTCAAATTTCTTATCTGTTTGGTGCTGAAGCCTTCTTGATATCTTTTAGCAACCAATTAATTAATCTGTTTTCAAGACTTAACAATTAGTCCCTATAGTCCACAACTACTGGTTAATATTTTGAAATTTCTTTTGCTGCTTGAGTAATTTGTTTAGATATTTTTAGATCTGCAACCAATAGTCTAAGGACCCGTTTGGTAATAGATTTTGCCAAAATAAACTTGGGTTTTATTTGTCAAACACATGTTTGGCCATAGATTTTGCCTACATTTTGGTCAAAACCCAAATCTCAAATCCCAAAACCAGCTCAATAGATGGTTTTGAGCCAAAATATCACTATTATATTTTTAAAAAATTACCCCAAACTTTTGTATTTTATAAAAGAGCCCACCATTTATTATTTTGTAACGATGTTTCTTCGTCTTCCCAATTAGTGTATCATGTAGTTCATCATAATTTTGTATCAAATTTATTTATGTTCAAGACTATGGTTTGCGATAATATAATGAATGTCATTGATAATGGTATTGTTGGGTATTTGTGATAGTTTTTAGAAATTATGGGTATAAGTCATGTTTCATATTTTTCCAAACCAAACTTCACCCAAAACAGATGTCCAAACACATTTTCATCTTCAACCCAAACTTCATCCAAATCAGATTTTTCAGAATAAATTTGGGAATCTATGCCGAAACGCTAGCTAACTAGCTTCAAAAATCAGCTTATTTTGCTAATTGTTTTTTCTTAAAAGTGTTTTTAGCGTATTTTTTTCTTAAAGTTTTTTGTTTCAAAAGAACTTTTGGTGAGAATGAACAATTATTATTTGACCAAATTTTTAAAAATTGTTCTCAAAAATATTTTTTTAAAAAGTGCTTTTGTAAATAAGTTACTTTTTTGTGCTTCTCCAAAACTGTTTGACCAAACACTTTTAACCTTTGAAAAAAAGTACTTCTTGGATTCGAGAAGGTTGGGCTATTAAGAATGTCTGATCTGTTTGGCATTTATTTAACTTGGACCAAGGTAAATTGAGTAGAAAAGATTGAATCTTGTTTTTGGTGATGCAGTGGTAAAAAGCCAAATTACTTGGGTGTTCAGAAGAATCCACTTGGTCTAGCTCTTTGTCCAGCCACCAACAATTGTGTTTCTACTTCTGAGAACATCAGTGATGCTACCCACTATGCACCTCCTTGGTAATTTTTCTTTTGGCGGAATACCTACAAATTTCCTAAACTTCACGCGAATTATTAGTTACACCCCTAAATTATTCATGGTCTTAATTACCTCCCTGAACTTGGCCTTTTGAGAGCCATTACCTCCCTGGACATTGATGTGGCAAAGAGTGTGAGTGCACTCTCTTTTAAGCGCATGAGAGTGAAGAAAAATTGAAAAATTAACTTTCAAGTAGGTTATTTTTTAACTTTTAATTATCATATAGTCATATATAATGATTAATTTGTTACAACTATGTATTTCTTCTTGCTTCATCTTAATATATAATGTGAAGTTTACTCTAACTTTTATTCTTTTTAATTTCTTCTATAGATATAATGTCTATTTGTTCCAACTGCATATTTTTTTTTTATTTGGGCCAAATTTGTAAAAGTTTGGTTGGAACTCCATCATTTTAGCCAAATAGAAAACTTTTAGCAAAAAAATAGAGTGCTAGTTGTGTATTTTCTGTTATTTTTTTCTTTAGATATAATGTCTATTTATTTTAATTGTGTATTTTTATTTTCGAGTCAAATCAGTAAAAAAAGGCTACAACTCCATTATTTTTTACCAAATAAAATGGTATAGCCAAAATAATGCAATGAAAATTATTTCAACTGTATATTTTTACTCTTTCCGGTAATATCTGTAAAAAAAAAAATATAAATTTTTAGAGCTCCATAATTTTGAGCTATATAAAAAGTTATAGCCAAAATAATAAAAATCAAACTATATATTTCTTATATCTTTTTAGATGTTTTGACTATTTATTTCAACTTTATATCTTTATTTTCAAGTCAAATTCAAAAAATAATAACTAAAACTTTATTATTTTTAGCTAAATAAAAAAAAATTAGCCTAAATAATGCAGTTCTAGCCAAGTTTTATTATAAATATTTTTCGAAAAAGATTATCTAAAAAAGTAACACACTTAAAAAGGTATAAAATATATTTTATTTTTCAAAAAATGGCACATGGACATGAAAATACACGTGGCAGGCGATTGCATACCACTTTTCTAGAATGAGATCATCCAAGGAGTAACTGCTATCGAATAACCAAGTATAGGGTGTAACAAATAATAAGTGCCAAGTTTAGGGGGTTTTAAGGTATTTTGCCTTTTTCTTTGCTCTCTATCTCTATCATCATAAAAGTGCACATACAATGAAAAAGTGCACTATCAATTTGCAGATGGAAATTGTGCACATTAATGTGATAGGTACAAGCCGACATTTGAATCCAAGGGCCTCCCTTTTTTGACCTTTTCTTTTACTAGAATCACAATGGCTGATCTTGGGTGTAAATTAATTTGTGGGCCCCGCCTGGTCCTGGACAAGAGAAGTTTAATTTGCAGTCCATCTGGTCCATCAAAAACTACAAGATGTAACAGGCTAACGTTCAAGATGAAATGGATGCTTTAGATCCATTATTATACCCAAGAATCAGTATGTTCTTCCATGTAAGCATCTTGGAGGACAGACTGTTCTTTTAGTTTAGGATAGTTCACCAATATGCAACCCACAAGAACTTACAATTTTCTTTTTAAATGACAAAAAGGAAAGGAAGATGAGAAAAAAGAAAAGAAATGAAAAGGAAATGATAAAATTGAAGTGTACAGGATCAGCCATTATTAATGCATACTGAAAAGAGATGTTAAAATGTTGGTGCTTTGATTCTGACCAGGAACTATAACCCTGATGGAAAACGTGGTAATGTCAGCAGAGAGAAGGCAATGGAGGAACTCCTTCAAGTGGTAAGGGTCTCAAAACCTGTCGTCATCAGAACAAGTAGTGGAACAATATATGTCACTTACCAAACTATTAATCTGCATCATTCTGCAGCTAAAAACTCTAACAAGACTAGGAATTTTTTAATCCTATTAGAGATTTATATGCTAGTAGAAAATGTAGATAACTTCTACGCTAAAAGAAACTAATTATTTAAAGTATTGGACTGAACAGACTTAAATGGTGTGACATGGACAGTGAAAATTCATCAATTCGACCCCAACTTGCTTGAATTGAGTCTTAGTTGTTGTTGTATTCCGCAGCTAAAATCAACAAAACCAGACAAGTTCTCTCCAAAAATAGTGGAGAAGAAAGACGATTATGTGCGCGTGGAATATGAAAGTCCTATCTTGGGGGTAAGTCTTAGAAGTTCGAATTGCTCAGTTAAACACATCATACTCCGCAGGCACTACTGAACAAGTACATGTTATTACAGTTTGTAGATGATATGGAGTTCTGGTTCCCGCCAGGCAAGAAACCAATTGTACAGTATCGATCAGCATCTCGCTTGGGGAATTATGACTTTGATGCTAATAGAAAGAGAATCAAGGTGTGAATATACATAGTACTAAACACTTTTTTGCTGTTCTTGTTCTTTCCAACAATGGCATCCCCCTTTAAGTTATTGGCTAATCTGGTCATATGAAACAGGCCCTGAGATTGCAATTAGAGAAGAACGGATGGGTGTCAGAAGACGCCGTCTGAAAGGTGTGATCTTCATATATGAGCACTTATTCTTTCTTCTTAGCAGGGGCGGACCCACCTTGTACGAAGGGTTTCAGTTGAACCCGCTTCATCCGAAAAATTAATTTATTTTTACTTGCGAATTTCATCAAAAAAACATGAAAGGGATAGATATTAATGTACTTGAACCCACCTGACACAAACATAGTCAAGTGGGTTCAAAATAAGTCCATGGTTGGGAGTTCGAACCTCCGCTAAGGCACAGAATTGAAGCATCTTTTCTTTAGCTTTGCCCTTTTTGCTAAACATGTATTTTGAACACACATTTGAATTCATTTTCCACTTCATCACTTTTGTTATAGTCGTAGGAGTATATTATTTTGTTTATTATTGGCTTGTCCTTGCAGCTCCTTTTCTTGTCTTTCTTTTTATGATTCCTTGCTATTCTTATTAAACTTCATTTTAGTTCAAAAAAATTTAAAGCTTTCTACAAAGTGAATTTTGGTTCTCTTTTTCATAAGTTTTGCTAAAAGAATGAGAGTGCTTTGTTGAAATTACTTGTAATCTTTTAATTTAATTTAGTTTAGTTTATATTGAAATTGTTAATTTGTGTTATACTCAAAGTTTTAGCTTGGCGTGCAATATCTTTTTCTTTAATCATTTTGGATTAATTAGTTTAGTTTAAAACTCTTTTTTGCCGTGTCTTTTGTTTGTAACTTTGTACGTTATATTTCTTAAAGGTATAATACGATTTTTAAGTTGGTTAAACACTTTTTTGGTTAAAATTGCTAAATTTTCTGAAATGAAATTTGTTAGTTTATATAGATAAATTTTAAATATTTAAAAAAATATTTTCCCAACTTTTTTTTTAAAAAAATGACTTCATTTTGAAGTCGTGATGGAAATAAAAAAAGGGAGCATTGCGCAAATGGTGTTTATTGGTGCATTTATACAATTGACTACCGCGATCTATAACTGAACCCGCCACTGCTTCTTAGCACGACAAATAAGATCATCTATTGAAAACAGATTGACTCATGAATTGAGCCTCCTTAGCTTATTTTGGAAAGCTTAATAGAAGGATGAAATAATGTCAATATTCAGATTTCAGACCAACATATTAGCTTTTGAAATTCTGATGAACACCCTTTACCGCTTCAACAGATGTTAGGCCTTCAGTTGTTGAGGCTGCATTTTACCAAAAGAACAAGCTGCAAATCGTCATAGACGCATATAATCTGTGTCAAATGGTTGGTAACTGCTAGTGATTTCTTGGTTGCATGTCAAATTATTTCCCTTCAACCAAAATAGCAGGCATCATCCCAAGATTGGTGGACAGATATAAGTATTTGGGTCAATGTTTGAGAGTATATAATAACCATTAGAGGACACAAATCAATCACAAATTAATTTCATCACGAACCGTCTGTAATTAAGTTTTACTGGCTTTGACATGCAAAACTGACACATCCAAACATGAACTTAAGGGATTGTACGAAAGCAAATAGATACTGGACAGCCACTGAATGAGAATAACTTCAAAACTTGCGTGTAGTATAATGTCTTTTTGTGTTGCTGATGCAAAACAAATTTTCACCAAAAATATCACACAAAAATATATCAATAGATATTGCTTTTCCTTGAGCAAGAGAACTCAACCAGAGGTCACAACTTCGATCCACCATTACATGTACTCAGTTTTTAACATGTTAAATTTCTGTTCAGCTCGCAAGTAAACTTGTCAAGATTGAAGTTGATACACATGCTACCACATAGAAGGAGATAGAAGATCTTTTGCTATTTTATTATCGTATGTGTCAACGCATTAATCATAAAAATTCTCTATTCTGGCAAAGTCACTAAGAAGATTTTTTTTTATGAAACTAACATTTTAGTAGTTCCTCCACTTTCTGTCATGGTGAGCAAACATTTTAGGAACTATTTTTGTTAAATAAATTTCTGTACGTAATAGTAATTTAGTACGAACTCTGCAGAACTGCCAAGGAGCAATGGTCCCTCTACATCATAACTATGTAATTTTGATATATAATAGGATTTAACCAATAAAAAAAACTATTCATTCCAATACTTAATAAATAAATATAAATTTTTAACTTTAACAATTTTAGGTCAATATTATTAAATCAAAAAAAAAAACTATTAGAAACAAATGATGGAAAATAATTAACATGTATAACTAATCGCAAGCTATTAACATATGAAAAGAAAAAAAAATATAAAGCGGAGAAAGAGGTGGGAAAAGTGAAGAAAGCAGAAGAGAAGGAGAAGGTGGAGAAAGGCCATGATAGGCGATCTACTCTCATGGCTTCTTGCCTTCTTCCTTGTCGTTGCCGTTCTCGCCGCAGTCCTCTACCAGGTTTATTCAAATTTTATCTCTTATCTTTTTCTATGTCAATTAATATTCCCTATCTGATACGCCTTTGTAAATCTTTTGGCTGTTTAAGTCATTGAAACTGGAAAAAGATGATAACTTTTCCCTTTGAAGCGTTAAGAGAGGTTAACCTAAGAAGCTTAAAAAAGCATGTCAATTTGATGAGCTTTTTCGTTCTTTTCATGGATGATGATGGTGTAAGCTAGATTTGTTAGCTATACTGTTTCTATCATCTTGTATCAGTCGACCTAGAAATCCATAAGTGACAAATATGTCTATTGTTAAATCTACTAGTCAGAGTTCACTGGCACAATGTTGTTAACCTTGAACATTAGCTGCTTGCTTTTTTTCTACTCAATGCTCTTCTTTCTATTGTTCTTTTCTGTTTATCTTTTTTAGGGTCAATAAATATTACATTTGGATTTATTTACTGCAGGTCATGTGCTTGGCGGATCTTGAAAATGATTATGTCAACCCTTATGATTCAGCATCCGAGATTAACGAACTTGTGGTTCCAGAATTTGTTCTGCAAGGAGCACTATGCTTCGTACATCTTGCGATGGGGCATTGGTTTATGTGTCTGATCTGTCTCCCATACTTATATTATGACGTTAAGGTGTAAGTCTTTTAAATGAATTATGTAGCACTGCTAACCCCTTCCTGCTGCTTCTTGGCATTGGCATCCCAAAATGGTCTGACAAGTGATGTTAACTTTTTGATTAGCTATACTGATCGTCGCCACTTGCTAGATGTAACTGAGATTTTCAATCAGCTACCATGGGAAAAGAAGATTCGGTTGTATAAACTTGGATACCTTGGGATACTCCTTGTCTTTTCTATAATCAGGTATAGTGCTGTTCCTTTTTCTTGTTCCTTGTTTTAGTACAAGCTGTTCCGTTTTTGTTGGAACTTCTAAACCTAATTTACTTATGCTGTATGTTGATTTTAGTATGGTCTGGAGCATTGTGTCTGAATGAAGAATGAGGAATTGATGCTCTCACCAAGGTTCCCTGGTTCCTCTCTCTGTGGTATGGCTCTGTAAATTTGCATAAGGGAAAAGATAGAGGACATTAACTTTCTCTTCATATAACCAGTATTGGCTCTCACAAGAGCTATTGCTCTTCAAGTTCTCTTAATTTCTTTTAAAATTTTTGTTTGTAGATGTAAATATTTCCCCATATCTTCAACAAGCAGTATTTTGGTTTCTACATGAGATCATTTTTAATTTAACCTTTTACTGTGTGAAAGATGGAGTATAGTCATCTCTTCAAACTAGACGCACTTCCACTTTTTCAAACTCTCATTTACTCTACCGAATACCAAAAGCAATGTTTGCTCCACCTGCCCCTTTAACTAACTTTTTTTTTTCTTGGTGTAAAGTTTCCAACTATTGTTAACCATGCTATAATCCACAGTATAGATGTTATTAGATCATATAATGACGTTTTATGTGAAAATCTAGGTGCTATTGCAGATGCCTATTTTCTTGAACTCATGATGGGTGAGCTTTAAGTTATGGTCTAGAATATTGTATTTGTATTCTTCAAGTATGAAATTTTCATGTATATTGTTGTGCAGCAAGTGGTGGAACACTTTTCCAAATAAATTACTCACTTGCTGGACACTTTTCCGAATAAATTACTTCTTTACATGCGAAACCAAGTATACCTAAATCTCTCTGTTTCAAATGACTGATTCAAGTAACTAACTTTTACTTGATCCTTGAACTACCTGTTCAAATTGCGCACAGTTTCTGTGAGAATAGCTTCGGAGTTAAAGTTCCTTGGACAGTTTGGTTTTTATTTGGTCATGTTTGATCACATGCTATGGGATGGTGTAGGACCAAAAGTGGTTTCCTTATTGGTTTAAATTATTGATTCTCAGGAAAGCTAGTTAGCCTATGCCATTATGCCTTTGACTTGTGGTAAATCTGGCATTTGCTGTAAGCTGATATGGTTTACGGTTCTGTTATAAACTACTAGTTCCTAATACTCCAAAAAGAGAAAAAGGGTTATCCTTCGTCCACATATATACTACCAGGTGCAACAAAGATCAAGTAACTGTAAAAATTCTAATGAGAAACATACGATGCTACTTCTCTAGTGGGGATAAAGAAAGAGAAAAGAGGAAAACACACAAACTAGAAAAAATACAATCTGGAAAGATGTATTTGGACCTTGCCAATCAGTTGCAGATCAGGGATGAATTTGCATTTTGAGCAAAGCAAGAACATGAAGGCTTTGCTGTGCATGCTCATTTTTGCCATGTTTACTCCACCAGTTACACTTTATCCCGGGGGGGATTTACCCAACCAAACATCTTTTATAGGCAAAACAAATTTGTTATTTTATCTCAGATGTCTCAACACTCCAGTCATAACATTCAATGACTTATTGGTAGCAGTGGCGGACGCACGTGGTGGCAAGCGCGTGGTGGCAAGCGGGTTCAATTGAACCCGCTTCATCAAAAAATAATACTGTGTATATGTATAAATTAGGATTAAAGCTGCGTAAATTTTGTATAAATATTTTATTTGAACCCACTTGACAACTACTATTTTACGACTAAAGTTATGTACTTCTAAGATTGAACCCGCTTGCACAAAATTCTGGGTTCGCCACTGATTGGTAGGTCACTTAGAACCCACCAGAAGAAATATGGGAGAAAAGCAGATCTGTTTAGGATTTATTATTTAAGCCTTGAACTGCTAACTTGGTGAAGATGTATTACATTTTTCAATTTCTCGGAGCTACAGTTGTAAAGGACCTTTTGCCAATTCTGGGAACTATAATTATAAATGACCTAAGCATCTGTGGCATAAACTTGTGGAATTATTTTCTAAATATTTTCTTCCCCTTTCTCAGGTTTGATGAATTGATGAAAGTGAGATACTCTGGGCAGTATATGTTGGAGCTGGCTTCTGTTGGTTTTCTCAGTAATGATGCCATTTTTGCTGAGAATGATGCTGATTGATGGGCTGGAGAATTATTCCAATTTAAGGAAAGGATTGGTTGTCCTCAACTTGGGAAAACATATTGACGTTGATTATTAAGATATTATTAATCACTATCATTGATGCTGTTTATCTTTATTTTTTAAAATAATGAAGTGCTTATCTTATTACTTAAGATATCTTATAATCTTTTAGTTAGAGATAGGATTATTAGTTCAAAATAGTCATTTCAATTACTTCCTCGTAGAAAAGACTAGTCTTTTCAGTTAATTAGAAATAGAGTTCAGGTTGTCAGTTGTAAGTAAGTTCTATCATGGACATGAATAATATTTGGTAAATTGATAATCTTCTGATCCCTTTTTGTCCATCCTTTCTCCCTTCTTCCTTTTTTTCCCCTATTCCTTTTCATTCTTCTCTTCTCTCGCCAAGACTTAGACAAATAGAAAAAGATTACCTAATTTTTGTCGTGCCTCTGCTGATACTGTCCTCAAATGTTAAACAAGCTCAACCTCAAGCTCAAGTGATATAAGCTTTGATAGAACTTGGACTTGATATCATTTTGGCTTGGTACTTTAAATGAACTCCACTGTGAAATCAAGTTTCAACTTGAGCTTATGATATATACTTGTAAAACATTTTTAATAGTTTATTATACAAGTATCCATTATAGTAGTAATATTATAGGCTTACAGCCCTTGTAACAACAGAATTCGAGATGCAAGATTTCACTGAAACTACCCAAAAAGAGTGTCAATGTGGATGAAATTACGAATCTTAAACTTTTAATCCAAACGTGTTATATTAAAGCATTAAAGTTCCCTAGAACTAATAATCTGCAACTACACAACAATAATACATGCTCTTGAGCTGAAAGAAGAGATTCTAGATTCTATCCTAACACAAGTTATAGCCGATCAGACAAGTATACTATTCTGGTACAGCATGTGAAGCTTCAGAATCTGGGAATGAATTCTTGTCCAGTTAGACTACTCTCCCTGCAATGATATGTTAATATCTGTTGCAGACTTTCTCGAGTCTTGAACAGTTGGCATAGCGGTCCAGTGATTCGTTTGCATGGTGGAGGAAGAAATAATATTTTGATTTCCAGCTCCGGGAATGTTTACAGTGAGTGCATTGGAACTTCTAGGGTCCATATTAGAGCTATGGGGCGCAGCAGGAGAGACCGTTGCATAAGGTATTGCTTTGGGTTCTGCTTTCTGTTTCTTTGGCTTGGCTTCTTGGTAGTTGCTTGGTAGAAAACTGCCCACCACAACCTGATTATATTGAAAGAGCAAAATTTGAGCATAAGATTGACCACCCTCAATTATTAGAATTCTTGCAATAGTACATAAATAGGTTACCTGGACAGGACTAGCAGCTATTAACAGTCCTGCAAGTGTACCTCCGACAACACGACCATCGGGACTTGCCAAAGAAATGCTCATTCCTCCGGTTCTGCTAGTACGAGAACCCCCAAACTCTGTTGGAGTAAAGGATCCAGACAAAGAAAGGATTTCGAATCGACCCTACAAAACAATATTACAGAAGGGATTGATTACTCGTCAAATGTCACTGAGGGCACCAAGCAGGAATGCAGCTTTCTTAATGCAATAACTATGCCTCAATTCCAAACTAGTTGGGGCCAGATAAATGATTTCTCAATATCCATTCAGCTCCATTTGTGCACGTTTCATTCACTAACCAGTAATTTGTCTTTTAGGACAATTTAGAGACTATGAATGTTCTCACAAAATTTAACTTCCTTTTCTTATCATTTGTTTGTCTATCTAGTAGTCCTTTTTCTTTTCGATCAAATGATGGCCTCTTCTTTCAATTCAAACATATTTCCAAGCGAACTTGAAGAAACTGAAATAATTAACTTGGAGTAAATTACTGAAATAAAGCATATAATATCACATAAACTAAATTTTTTTGGAGTGAACTATTAAAGTAAAGCATAATACATATCTACATAAGCTAAGATATTCTGGTAATGGCGCCTCATCATATCTAAAGAGACACAAAAGACATTTGTAGTAAAAGAAAAGAAAAACTTGGACCCTGCCTTGTCAAACATGCATCCATCTCTAGCACGATAAGTTCTACTGAAATTGCTATACATCTACGATCAAACTGTGAGGCAACTTCAGCACTACAATGCTTGCGAGTAAACTATATAATGAGCAACCCTCAGTTCATATCTTTAAGTTCAATCATTGACAAGGTTCAAAGAAAGGGTGATCCATTGATAAAGAAAAATAATAACCACCATGATGTGATGCAAAACAAAGAGCTATTGACTGTTGAGCACTCAAATGACCAACCTCATAAGTCAAAGTCCCCCCTGAAGTATTTGGTTGCCGTAGAGTAACATTTGATATCAAACCAACAGCAGAAATAATGCAAATAGCTCGAGGTCCTTGCTGAGAAAATGAGATTATCTTCATTGTAACATCCTAAACAGCCAATAAAACAGTAAATATTTTCTGATTTGGAGAAGTAGCAGAGAAAATAAACAAAAAAGAAGAGGGTTGGGTAGTATTGACAAGTCCTGGTTAAAAATTCTAATTACAAAAGAAAACTCTAGTTGCATGGAAAAGGATAATGCATAAAGCATAATCTATACTCTCACAGAAGTGCAGAAACGGGCCAAATAAAATTAGAAAAGATGGTTGCTCCAATTGTAGAAGTTCTTGAAGAACATCTGACCGACTATAACCATGTAAGAAATCACTTACAGAGAAATGAAAAAGCATTCCCTTAAATCACCCATCCCTGTCCAGAAGCCGGGCTTCTTCACTTTTTAGAAATAATATCACTCACTCTTTATTCTTCAGCAAAGGAAGTTGAGGTTTACCTTTGCAAGTTATGACTAACGAGAGAATTGAGACATCACTCAACCAGTACCCCACCCAAGAAAAATGAAATATATATCACCAATTACATATACATGAAAGAGTAGGAAAGGCAGCAATAATCACAAAGGAAAGACAAACAAAGCTTTTCTATCTGTTAATGCAATTCCTTGTATACCAAAGCATACCTCACCAGCTTCAACTGTGATCATGTGTGGTAAAAAGTTGCCACCAGTGGAACATGAAATCCATTCACCTACAAGATGAGATCTACTTAATCAGTTACAAGATTTGCATTGCTAATTTTAGCACCACTAAGGGGAAATTAATCAATATGGAAAAGGAAATAATTAGCGTCCAAATTTTTTTTTGGATTCAACAAGGCTATATAAGTTCTCCCAATATCCACTCTCTACATGCAACCAAAGTAAAAATACAAGAAAATCACCTTTTTGATATTTTCTTACTCAACGAAAGAGTAACGTAAAGCTGGTCAAGTAAATTGAGAAACAGGGATTAGTATCTAATTTTTCTTTGCACAAAACTAAGCATCTAGAGAATCACTTTCCCAATTCAGAAGGAATCCATTCACATATCTACCACAGATCAGTTTGTCCCAACAGGCCCTACAAATCAATCTCTAATAATTTGTAAAAACAAATTTCAAATCTTCATTTGGCAAAAATGACGAAAAATAGAAAAGAAGATAGAAACTACAGTGATATCAGCTATGCATCATAAAATCAAGCATACATGGTCCCCTCAGAACTACAATAATTAGTACTAAATTACCAAATGGACAAATTCAAGTCCCAGGTTTCCACAAGTTTCCAGTGTCAATGTATTAACTTTATTAATGTAAAAAATAAATATAAAAATCCAGTAATACCCCATATCCTAATTATTTCAACATGTTCATATCTACTGAAGATCCCAAGATTCCAGGTCCTACAAAACATACCCACACACAAAATAGAGTTCAATAAACATCTCCATTACCTAAATTTTCTGCTCCCACTTTATTGCGAGGCTTTTTCTCCGACGCAGGCCGAGCAACACTGACTTTCTCCGACAAGAAGCTGCCGGAGGTTGGTGGGGCCGACGCCGAAATGGGCATAGGTGAAAGTGTCCGAGTGACTGCCCCATCTGGCCCATACTTCCTAGGACGGCCCCTCTTCTTCTTCTCTGAGCTAAGTGGAATGCCAGTAGCTACCGGAGGTGTCACAGCCGGCGATGTTCCCGCCGGCACCAGAGCATTTTCCGTTCTTGGTGCCATTTGATAGTTTGATGGAGCTTCTGGAGCTATCACTGTAACTCCTGAATTCATGGCTTCTCTTGACTCCATTTTCTTTAGCAGATATTATTAATGCTTTGCAACTGTAAGAAAACACAGTAAAAGAAGTGATCTTTCTTATATTTACTTCTGTAGAAACTCAGTTTAGAATCAGAACAAGTACATTTAATAATCAGCACAAGATTACATTTTTTTGTACTACTCAACCAACATTATTGCACATTTTAATAAACAGATAAAAAAGACCCTCAAAGAACTAACTAAAGAAAAAAAGAGAGAAACTTTTTGTTTCTTTAAAATTCTTCGCAGACAAACACAAGATGGCAATTCAACATTTTTACTTCACTATGTTGAAAAACCAGAAAAGAAAAGGAATGTACAGAGAGAAAAAAAGAAACAACATTTTCTGACCCTTTAATTTTCTATTGACAAAAATTAAGACTTGAACCAGAAATAACCAAAGTACAGACCAGAAAGAATGTTCTTGCTGTTTTAAAGTCTAAAGATCAGAAAAAGTAAACCAAATGTTTAAACAAAAATCCAAAAGATTTTTTAAATCAAAGCTTGAACTTGCAAAAATACTACCAAGAAAATTTTAAAGAAACTGGTCTCAGAAGACAGATTTAAGAGAAAAAAAATTAGGAATGAGAGTGAAGTTTGACTTACACTGATGTAATATATCTAAAGCTCCTTAAAACTACCTTCACAGATCAAAATTTTATGAAGATGTAAAAGAGAAAAAAAAGGAAGAAATGGTTAAAACCAAAAGAAATAAAACTAATTTTTTTAATCTTTTAGTGGTTTTTAGGAGGAAAACAATTAACAATGGCTGTTTCCCGGCAAGAAAACCAGTTTTCAGGTGGGGCAAAATCAGTTTCTTTAGACCATAATAAAAAAGTGGAAAGCAAATTTCTGAATGCAATGCAAGTTCACTAGAAAAAAACAAGACAAGTTCTTTTTTTCCTTTTTAGTGATAAACTATTAATTGCACCAAAACCAAAAAATGAAATATGATTAAGATGAATTTCAAGTCCGAGTAAAGAAGTTAAAAACTTCCACATATAATTATTGAGAAGGGTATGTTCGTAAATTAAGTGATCTATATAGGTTATATGGGGAAAAAGATAAAGTTTCTTTTTGAAAACTGGATTAAATTTTGTACAAATTAAAGCTGAAAAAGTGAAGTAGGGGACCAAAAGGTTGTCAGAGCGGTCAACCTTTTTCTTGCCGCTGACCTACCTTTTGTCCTTTTTTCCAAACGAAGTGTATATGTGAGAGGTTAAAACTTATGCCCCTGAAGTCTTCGTTTAATTACTAATCCATGCCACTGATATTATCTGGTTATCTCCAATTTGGTAATCGTCTAGAAAATATTTTTGTTTGTTGGGTGGAGAATATTAAAAATTAAAAATAATAAAACAAAATGAAGATTGTTTAGATAATATTTTTGAGAGATAACGATGGATTATAAGGTAACATTTCGACCAAACAACAAGACTTATTATAAGGTACAACGATTAGTCCGATCAAGTAATATGAAATTAATTATTATGATTTTGTAAGAAAAATAAGTTGATAGTTTCCGGGGTTCTTCGTATTGGACTTGTCTAATGTGATTTATTTTTCAAAAAAAAAAAATCTTTAGTGGAAAATGGTTTCTTTTGCAAGAAATTCCAATAATCAAACATCAAAAAATAATTTTTTATGAAAATATTTTCTTGAAAATACTATGCAACTTGGCCCGAATAATAATAATAATAATAATAATTAATTTACATTTTTGTTCTTTTCATTAATCTTGCGGAACTGAATTTCTCACACGTGGGAGACATGCAACCGAATCTATCAAATGATCCTCTTAAATATGGTAATTCAAACAATCTACTGTCTGGATTGCAAGTAGTTTTTCTTGGACTTCAGAAAGATCTTCAAAATCTTTTTCTGCAAAGAATATTACTTATCTCTTTAGCTTTCCTACATCTCTAACCTAATATTTATGTATATCTTGTTATATTAAAAGGTGGATAGTGAAACATGAGATTAAACCAAATAGTATATTGAAAAAATATCACTTGACACTTTTAAGGCATAATTTAAATAAATTTGGATAAATCTAATAATGATTAAGGCAAATTAAATTTGATTAAATTAAATTTATGGTAAAAATCAACTAAGATTGACTTATAATTTTTAAAGTAAATATATTCTAAAAGCTATCCAAAAATAAGAATTCCTATTTTAGTAGTTATTCACTAATTACATGATCATTTTTCTTCCATTTAATAATATTTATATTTTTTAAAATGTTACATAGGGAAATAAAATGATAGTGAGAATATTATTACAACAATTAGATATAATGTATTCAAACAAATCTCTCTCTCTCTCTCTCTCTCTCTCTCTCTCTCTCT